AGAGCTTATTCAGATTTTTACTCTGATTGGAAAGGATCATAAAAAATAAAGAATGTGGTGTGTTAAGCACTGTATTTAAACCTATGGGGTCATTTAAAAGTTCCAGTTAAATTAAGATAACATAAAACAAATGCCTGCGATCTTCTATAGAAAAAAATAATAAAGACATTGCCAAGAGTTAATGTCCCTAAAATAATTTCTACATAACAAGATTAATAAAAACATAGGCACTAAGTTGAATCCATAAAAACAAGAAACCAACTACTTTTATACAGAAAGTAATTAAATGCAAATAACTGTGGCTTCAATGCAAGTGAAATGAAGGAAAAATCACTATGGTAACCATTAATTTTTCGTTTTTAGATTAATGAAAATCACAGGAATCAAAAGCAATGATGGTAGCTTTGCAAAGCATTTGAAAAGGTTGAAATTTTATTAAACCAACAGGAAAGGTAGTGTAAGGGCAGCTACACATTAATCTCAAGGAAAAAACCACTATGCAGTCCTAATTAGTGCTGAAAGGAAAGCTCACACAACTCTAACACATTTCCTCTTATCAGCATTGTTGGATTAGAATCCCAACACAGATAAATAACTGCAAATCTCTTAGAACCTGGTGAAGCATGCATTTTTTAATTTTAGACACTAATAAATCCAACAATGAAACCTGAAATTTATGCAAAAACCCAAGTTTTGAGGTATGAAATTAGAAAGATCACATTCTTTCTATTGCTGTAAATTATAATAGTCAGTATTATGATTTGTGTGAGTGAATGCCATGTGTGTGCAGTTGTGTGTATGCATTGCTCAAGCTTAACAAGGTAAAACTTTGGAGCTACAGGCAGTTCGCACACAAAGGGACCACTTTGCATAAAATAACCTGGTGTCACAACACAAGTGCGAACTTGAATATTTGCCAATACTTCTCTGCCTGAAAACCTAATAGGCACAAACACCCAGCACCAACCATGGATGGTGCCAGGAGAAAGCACCTCAGGTACATAAATAAGGAAATGTAAAATATGTAAAATAAAATGTGTGTGGCTCTCTCCTTGCCTATGCCATCACTATATCCTTAAAAATCTAGCATGTATGGGTGTGGATGCAGAAGTGACGTTTCACCAACAGATCTATACTGCCTGCAGGATGGTACTTCTGTATTCTGTCTCTTCCCTTCAGCTTCTCCACTTGCCTTCCAGATTTCCTCTGGAACAAATTTAGAGTTTTATGTGGGACATTGTAGGAGAGTGGAGAACTTGCATGGTATTCTTCTGCTGATGGAAGAACATGCTAGATCCAAGCCCTTGTCACCAGTTCCAGTAAGCTATACTACCACAAAAGGAGGAAATTTGTTCTGGAGAGCCATTTTCGCCACATTCTGCAATGCTTAGCTTAAATAGTAGAGGAGTGTAGGGCAAGTTGTAATAATTTATGACTGTAGTACAAACCCAATGAAAGATACAGGCAGTTCCTGTGTTATGAACGAGTTCTGTTCCTGACAAAATGGAAATTCATCCTTAAGTCAAATTTGTATGCAAGTCGGATCATGTATGATTGGCCCTCCACATTCAAGGGGGTTAGGGGCACAGGTCCTCCATGAAAGTGGAAAAACCATGAACATCTCTAGGCCCAATCCCAATGAAATACAACAGTGCACCCTTTTTGCAGCAAAGAAATTCAGGAGAGATTTCCCTCTCTGGATGGGTAAGACAGGAAGGCATACTTTGGAGACCTCCCTCTCTCCCCTTTCACTTATCTCTCTATGGTAATGACTATTTCCTGCAGTAATTGTTTAAAATTAACAGCTTTATGGCAGTTCGTTTGTAAGCATGGGTTGTTTGTATCTCAGATGTTCATAATTCAGGGACTACTTGTATTTCAAATTCCCCAATCTTTGGCTGACAGTGAAATATTGCAAACCTATCTGCAAGATGTATAGTGAAAAATATCAGAATCGTAGTTCATAGTTTTTGTATGAAAAAACAACGAGGTCTCAATGCTCTGGTCAAATGAATTAGAGTTTAAAAAGATGCCTGCAATACAGGAAAAGTAATTAATTCATGTGACAGTAATTGAAAGGAAGCCAGGATTTCTTGTTCTTCATATTATATTATACTGAAAGATTAACTAGGGAAAACTAAAATTGTACAAGCAAATACATATATTTATATAGGGAATACAGTAAACTCACAAGCAATTATAAGAAAACCCAATACAGTCATTTAAGAAGGAACATTTATGGCACTGCAAAAATTCTATAGACTCTAAAGGGAAAATTGCTGTAAATTATGGAACATTGGAAAAGCAATGGCTAAATTATCATCATCTGAACAGTTGTGACCAATAATAGGTAATCAATAATAAATATAGATCACTACAAAATTATAGAATTGTCTACCATATAGGATAGTAAAATCAATGGGCAGAATAAAATGTAATCTTCAGTGCTGCTTTTTAAAAATAATTAAGTCAAAAGTAAGGTTTCTTGCAACCGCAAGAAAAGGCTTTATATCTTGCATTGTAGAGCAGCACAGGGAGCATGTAGATAGGAATCAACAGGGAGATCTTCGGATGATTTGCAGGAGATGAGCAAGGGTTTCTGGCTCCCTAGCTAAAAAGCTCTATACCTGCTGCCCCTTAGATTGTTTTTCACCAATGTGGAAAACTCAGAGCTGTGTTTTGTGCAGAAGGACTTAGGCCCATGATTCCAAGAATTACTGTAAGTGCTATGAGCACAGTGTTCCTTGAAGTGTAGGCAGCCAGGGAAGCTAAACAGAAGAACCTTGCAGGATCAGACCAAGGGTCCATCTAGTCCTGCTTTCTGTACACAAAGGGGCCAACCAGCTACTCACAGGATTAGCAAGCAACTGGTGTACACAGCCATATTGTAGTCTGCCAAAGAGATAATTGTATAGTGAAAGACAGTGGGCATAAATGTATATCTTGGCCCCAGCTAGGGCCATCAGAAGAATTCCACTAATTTTTTCTTTTCCCCTGGATGAAAATGGAAAACAATGTCTTGTTCATCAAATGTAATGAAAATGATTGAAAATTACAGAACACGTGTCCAGTACAGAATTAATATATGTTCTTTTTTCTTCACCCAGAATTATACCCACTTTTCTTATAAGCAGGAATCTCCACATTTGTCTTTCAGTTTCACCTTAGGTGAAATTCAGTGTCATTTGAATTCCTGGTCTTATCAGTTTTGTCACTACACAGGTGTCCCTCAGAAGACTGGACTGCCAATGGGATGGTCAACGCCTATGGACAAATGGGGGCTGCATTTGAATTTATAATAGGTCCATTTGCTTCAAGTCTTTGACTGTAACTCACAGCAGCCCTACTTTCTTTCAGTGAGCCATCTCCATGCTTTCTCTGACCCAAATGTATCTGCTGGTGGCACAGGAGAGGTGCAGTATTAGGCCTACATATGGCTACAACCACATGCAATAACACATACAAATGCTATGAAAATTTGTGCCAAGTAGTGTTTTCTTTTTCAGTGATACATTGCTATTTTGAGTGATTCATAAGTGGCCTCTATAGATTTATGTCCATTTTTATGGGAACAATTTTATTTAAGTCTAACAAGCCAAGGATTTCATATATGCCTCCCTATGTCATTGGAAGGCATATCTTAGCTAAGAATCTTCATTAATATATTATGTAAGTCCCAGGTAAGTGTATCTGAACTATTTTTTTAGACGTTTTCACCTTGAATTTTCATTTTAGCAAAGCTTCAGTGGCAACACTTGTCACTGTTATATTATTAATAATATGAGAGGGTTTCATTTCCTTAGAAGGCCATGGGAGATTTGTAGAATTTTTGTGAAAGCCCACTTGGATCTAGACAGCACCTATTGACTCCTGCTACCTACACAGACTTCTATTAGCACATTGCTTGAAAAAAGCAGTGGGAGAGACTCTCCTGGCCAAAGCTGGCTGTGGGCAGGTGCCATTCAGCTCATCTTGTAACAGGGGAGACAGAACTTGTTCCCCAGCCTTCCTATAGTCATAGGCTCACAGTACAGGGGTTAGGTGATCCTTGACTCCCATGCACTCAGCTTACAATAATATATTGCAGAATGGAAGAAATGAAGTGGCGAAAACTGACTTGCTAAATTACACACAACAAAAGCAAACCTAGTTGGGACAAAAGCCAACACCTGCAAAAGGCAAGTCTAACTGGAGTGGACCACCAGCTGAGGCTGTTATCATGCAGCTGCACTGTTTCATTCACAGAATTTTACGGGGGGTCTAGCTAACCTTGCCTTTAACTTGTGATCATCCTTTTTTTCACACTTCTGCACCCATTGTCCTCCATTGCACAAGAAATTCATTAGAGATAAAAATCAAATAGCAACACTGCCTCTTAATATTTAGAGCCAAAAACTCTAAACAGAAGCACCCTATGTTACATATCCTTCTGTTATAAGCCTATTTTTGCTTCCACATATTGTAAAACAACACACTTTTCAAAATAAATATTCTTTTCTGTTCCAAACAAGCTTCTCAAAGTAAATATCCTTTTCTGTTCTGTGGTTCAGTGATCAAACAAACAACTAATCATTTTAGCAGTCTAAAAGTAAGTTTCAGTGAAACAGCAGTATTTTAAAAACAAAAGAAATAAAGTAATTTGTGTCCTCCACTTTGTTGCTCCTTACAGATGTTACCACTGTGGTCATAAACTGTTTAACATCAAAGAGGTTGTCCTGAGTTTAATACTTATGTTTTTAGTTAGCATCTGTTGAACTTTCTGTTATGCATGTAAACATGTATCACTTGAACTTTCATCCATCCTAGTTTAGTTATTATGGTAGACATACAGTTTTGAGCAGTCTGACTAGTGTTTGTTCTGGATGTCAGGGTGACAAACTGAACAATGTTCAAATATTCTTGATTTTGCATATGCACATAACTGATTGAGGGGAACAGGTACCTCTTCCTTAGGGCAGTTTGGTTGCCACTGTTGACAACAGCAGCATTTTTCATCTTACCTCTCCATTTTCCAGTGGATGGATCTTGGAATAATACGAAGTACATATAACTTCATCATCTTTTGCATATGATGGAGGTCCAGTGCGAGGAGAAATGTTGTAGCGAGTCAGACATTCAGTGTCTGTGATAGCATAATACTGCCAGGGCTGGTAGTTAACACCATCTAGTGAACGTTCCAAAATCCAGTTTCCAGGTCGTGGAGAGTTAGCTGCTTTTACAATAACATAAGCAATCTGGAACACCTGGAAAAAATGTAAAGAAACAGTCAGAATAACTTTTTGAAATGTGACTACATTTTCCCTCTTTATCCTTTCTCCTATCTACCACACTGATTGTATAAAATCAAATTCTTATACTATGATTTTGGTTGATTCTCCTAAACAGCCAGTACATCTCATGGAATATTCATGTGAGACATGATGCTGCAAATTCCCTCTCTATTGAAATATTTTGTACCAATATGGACCACCATCAAAGCATGACTGCCCTGCTATTTCCTGCTCTGATGTGTAACACACAAAATAAATCAAGGGGACTTGGTTGGCCCAACTTCATTCCCATTACCAGTAGAGTTGTCTCAGCCCTTGACACTGCATGTGCCTGCCCAGAAGGATCTTACAGCAAGGAGATATTGGGGGGAAATGGTACAACAGTGACAATGGGAATGGAATCATATGACAGAACCTTAAAATGTGATAGGTCATGCCCATCATCTCTAGCAACGTGGGCTATATTGCGTGTGTCTTAGATTCTGGACTGAGTATATAGGGTTAATATACTAAAGAAAATGAGTGGACAGGGCTAAACTGGGCTAGAATATTCAGATTTAAAAGGTACCAGCTGGCTCCATATATAATAATAATAATAAGGATTTACTGGATTTAGTTACTACTGTACCTTCTGTGTGCTTTATGTTGTAATATAAGGAGAGTGAAATATTTCATTCATTCAATTGTAGGGCATTCTTGGAAACACAGATACCACATATTAATGTAGAAAATAAATAGCCCAATAAATAGTTTACATTACATTTCAGCCAACAATAATATGGTGAAAGTTTTTTTTTCTTGAAAAATACAAAGGAGCATTGTTCAAGTAAAACTTCTGGGAAATTTGCACACACAGGCTGTGGGCAAGAGTGTATGGTCTACAGCTCTTTAATGAGCATAATTTCTGCTTGAATCTGTAGAGTCTCTGTAGGACAGAAACTTCCTCTGCGAAAACAGATGAAAACAACCTAATCGCTTAAAAATATATCATACATTTGCATGATATGAACTGAGCAATTTGAGTAACTACATTTTGATTTGCTTTTGGAAAATTTTACAGCAGAGTCCATATCCCTCAGATCTGGACATCTTATAAAAGTAGGTTTTGTTGGGGGGGTGGGGTTGGCAGCTGTGGAAGGGTACTCTTATGTGGATAATTTTATAATAATAACAGGTAAATGAACGTGCTGTAACAGTAACCCGCTTCCACAATAGTGCTATTATTGTGTAGATACCTGACACACAAAAACTGTTTGCCTATTGCCAGAAGGCTAAATTTGGCTTTCATATTTAAACCTTTCTTCCATGGAACACAACTTTCCATAACAACAACCCTTTGAGATGTATGGCTGGTGACTTGCACCATGTCATCTAAGATCGCAGCCTTTCCCAATGTGTTGACTTTCTGATGTTTTCAGCTACAACTCCATCAGTTCCAGCTGGCTCAATTGAGTGATCAGTGATTATTTTAGGTATGTATGTATGTATTTATTTATTTAGACAACTTATATGCCGCCCCATCGCATGACCCTGGGGCGGCTTACAATGGCAGCACTTTGGGGAACACTGCCTTACTGGCTCTCAGCAAGCTAAATCAACATTGTTATCTCTTAGCTGCGTATCATGAAATATGATGCTTTCATATATTCCCTAGGTTTCAACTTGTGTCCCAGTTGGCCTGAAGTCCAATATAAGATTATTTCCTCTGAGAAACACCCACCCTGGGCATCTATCTGCATCTTATAACTACTGCTCTCTTATAAGCAGATTAGGAACAGTTAATCAACACTTATTATGGCTTGTGCTTTCACCTGCCTTTTCAACTAATTTACAAAAGATTTATTTTCAGCTAACCTACTTGCCAGCAGTGAGACTCAAGACACAGCTATATTTGATGAAGCATTGAATGTGCTAATAATTTATCCGTCTTTGTAAATCAGATTTTATTCCAACCTGGATAAAAATGAGGCAGGTGGAAAAGAGGATATGTCTCAGTAAGAATTAAAATGAAGGGATTTTATTGAAACAGAAGCCAATTTAGAATGTAGTCTGCTCTTATGAATACACTTAGAGACCCTGAGCAAAATATTGAGCATGTGTGGGCAGCTGGGAGACTGTGCTCCACACCATATTTTACATATCGCCATGATATCACAGAGAAAATTAATGGAAATGTAATCAGTTTCCAACATAGAATTAAATAAATTTATCAATCAATCTTTTATTGTAGCACAGCAGAAGATTGCCTAACAATATAAAAGCCAGGTATAAATTGCTTGCTTTTTCTTGGGAGAAAAAGGGGGTACCTATACTGCTCCATGTCCAATATGGAGTTCTGGTAGAGAACTACAATAACCCATATTACTTGCTTCTGGGATCTAAAGAAATATAGAATGCAAGAGCAACTTAGTGTTTTCAGTTTTGGAGTTGGGATAGGAAAAGTGAAAAAGAACAATGAAAACTTTACTTCAGGAAACTAGAAGATAGTGTTCTATATCAGTTGGTGAAAGCTTGTGTTTTCAATGGAAAGCTGCCAATTCACACAAAATTAAGTTCTGGAATATTATAATTACAGAGTGGAACAGATGAAATAATTAAAGCTGTTGCATTTTTTCATGGTGCCTTGGCAGCCTTTTCAGTACTGGAAATAAAATGAGTAAAGGGAAGATATGGAGATTTCACACTAATACTTTGTTACTGTGACTAAATACTGAAAGGGTTTCCCACTGGAGAGTTCTGAGAGGGAATCCAGCACTACGACTTATCCACTTGTAGACTTCCAGGTGAAAGCAGGCAATTAAGCTCTCATACTCTATTCAAAGTGAAATATATTTCCATTTTGCTAAGCTTACTGCAAAGGAGAATCGGTAGCTATAGTCATAACAAACTTGGATTGAGCATGAAAACATAAACCACCTTTCCGCAACCTCAGTGTCTACAGATAGGTTGAATTCCCACAATCAATAACTATTGGCCATGTGGGTTGCAGCTGATGGATGTTGTTGGCAGAAACACATGGAATGACCCAAGTTGGGGAGACCTGATGGATCAGTCCAAAGACCTATCTTCTTTAGCAAACTGGTTCCAACAGTGGCCAGCCAGATGTTTCCAGGGGGCAAGCTACTTAGGAATTCTTATCAACATTATAATGCTTCACTGGCATGTCATGTCATAATCATCCCATCCCATCTTCCTCACACTATTTCTGCCAGTATATCCTGATATTTTGCATGTTTGGTATATCTCAGATTTTTAACATTTGTAGTTTTCTCCCAATATATTTACCCGCATGGCCTATACCTGTGGTACTGTTTTGAGCCAAAATGACTACCTTCAGTCAGCTGGTGAGCTGAGGTGTGGGGAGACAAAATACCTTATGGGAGTTTTGTCAGTAACTCAGAAACCCTTCAGTTGTTTCCTTGCCTTCTTTGCCATGCCCCACGGCTTTCTCCATGCACACAAATTGCTCCACCTTCACATAGAAACCCTAATAGGCCATTTCCCTGCATGCTTTCCAACTCTGCCTATTTCTCTCTTGCAGTTGCAGTGATACAAGTCCATGTTTTCAAATACATAGCACTGACTAAAGCCCCAACTGCATTTTCTTGAGAACCACAACTGTATTCCATCACAAATAGAACAGGCTCTAGTTCAGATCCATCCCAAGAAGCTAACAAGTAGGACATATGGGAAAATATTCTTCTCCAGCAATTGGAATAAAGAAGCATTTTGTCTTATGCTATCAAGATTAACAGATGTTGAGAGCATTCCTTGAATGTGTCCACCTGGTTTAAAACCATCAAAGCCAAAACTGAGACTGCTAATTCACCATTGTATGGATGGTGATAACCAAACAGCATTTTCATTCTGATTCTCTCTCTCTCTCTCTCTCACTACACACACACACACAAACATATATATGTATGTATATATATATATGACTTACAGGCACTGCTAGAATCTATGAAACTATGGACTTCCCATATTCAGTCAAATAAGTATGGTAGAAGACAGCAATTCAGCAACATAAATAATGACTATTCATAGATGGGAGTTGCTAGAACTGAGGGTTATATAATATCCCCAAATGTATTTACATACTGCATTTAATAAAAGATGCATTACTTGTATTCTTGTAGCCTAAGCCACTACTACCATAATACATAGGTAGAGCAAAAGGGATTTCTGAATCTGGAAATTAGTATTCCTGCTCAATTCCAGGGTTACTTTGGGAAGTGGTAAATCTCAATTGTGTTAGCAGTTACCTTCACTGATGCACTGAAAAAAGTGAAAGCACAGTGGCATACTGGATCCTGATGCCATGTGACAAAATACTGCTCGGGAAAAGCAGGATGACTGCTCTTTATGAGCTGTACATTTGGTGTATCAGCTGCAACAATCAAGTGAGGAAACGCTGGATTATGAGGGACCATGAACAACCATGTCAGTTTCAAATTGCCCAATAGATTCTGCAGAAATTCATCATGGGGATGCGACTGTAGAACTGCTGATCAGTTCTTATTTGTTGTAGTTTTTTCTTTCTTTCTTTCATTCATTCATTCATTTATTTATTAAAACATTTTTATGCCGCCCCATTCGCCGAAGCCTCGGGGCGGCTTACAACAAAAAATTAAAATAACATTTTAAAATATATACAATAAAATACAAATATATAATATAAAACATACACTATAAAACAAGCCGCCCTGGCCAAATAAAATTCAATAATATTAACATTTAAAATACTGCTTAAATAAAAAGGTCTTCGCCTGGCGCCGAAAAACAAATAACGACGGCGCCAGGCGGACCTCTCTGGGGAGCGCATTCCATAACTTAGGCGCCACCGCTGAGAAAGCCCTCCTCCGAGTAACCACCCTCCTAACTTCTTCCACGGAGGGCTCCCGGAGAAGGGCCTCTCCCACCGATCTCAGGGGGCGGCTGGGCATATAAGGATGTAAGCGCTCCTTTTTATA